TTCTGTGGTCATATTGGTCTTGGCATGCAATTGTGGTTCTGTGGTCATCTTGGTCTTGGCATGCAGTTGTGGTTCTGTGGCCATCCTGGTCTTGGCATGCCATTGGTGGTTCTGTAGCCATCCTGGTCTTGGTATGCATTTGTGGTTCTGTGGCCATCCTGGTCTTGGCATGCCATTTGTGGTTCTGTAGCCATCCTGGTCTTGGTATGCATTTGTGGTTCTGTGGTCATCCTGGTCTCAGCATTAAAAAGGTGAGGTAGGATTCATTGCAACTAAACTAATTGCATTTGTGGTTCTGTGGTCATATTGGTCTTGGAATGCAATTGTAGTTCTGTGGTCATCTTGGTCTTGGCATGCAATTGTGGTTCCGTGGTCATCCTGGTCTTGGAATGCAATTGTGGTTCTGTGGTCATCTTGGTCTTGGCATGCAATTGTGGTTCTGTGGTCATCTTGGTCTTGGCATGCAATTGTGGTTCCGTGGTCATCCTGGTCTTGGAATGCAATTGTGGTTCTGTGGTCATCCTGGTCTTGGCATGCAATTGTGGTTCTGTGATCATCTTGGTCTTGGCATGCAATTGTGGTTCTGTGGCCATCCTGGTCCTGGCATGCAATTGTGGTTCTGTGGCCATCCTGGTCCTGGATTCATTGCAACTAAAACATTTGGAAACAACAGTTGCAATGACCATGACACTTTACTTGTATTACTCAGATAATTCTAATGGCAATTATTTTAATATGCAAACATCAGGCTGGAAAGTTTCATATTACAAGGATTTGATTGGTAGATAAGGGATCATCATAAAACAGTTAAGATAACAAGGATTATCATAGTAAGCCAAATTAAATCTTTCTGCCTTATCTACATAGTTAATACAGTGTCTGTCATACTGAATATTTCCACCCCCTAACCATATTTAAATCCCCTGCCCACAGAGCTAAAGATTTAATCACTATGAAGGTCTGGTGACATTTGATACATGTACCATTCCATAACACACATACATTCCATGTACAGCTATCTGTGCATATACTGACATTTAATTGAAATACAGTGTTATTTATAAATGCTATATATTTATTTTTGTAGGGATGTTGATGATGTTCATGACCTAATGGATGATATTCAGGAACAACAAGAATTAGCAGATGAAATCTCAACTGCAATCTCACAACCAACAGGATTTGGTCAAGATATTGATGATGTATGTACTATCACATTAATTAATTAACTCATCTCCCAAGCTTACTTTCAGCTGACTTTGCTTTTTCTTAAAAACTTACATTGTCCTCAATAATTTTAACTTATTCAGTGTAGCATTTTACTATGTCCCCAATATGAGACATAATAAGGCAGATTACTCCGCCCAATTTAGCCAGCTGTGCTAGCTTTAGGTTAGCTTAAAGCTGGATGAATGTTAAGTTACACTCGACCCATACTGTATTTTTCTCTATTCATGTCCATAGATTGGATACAGCTTCTCTATTGTGAGGTTGTGAGATTGAATCACAATGTATTAATATTGCCTCAATAATGCTAAGAGGCTTTCCATGCAATATTCTGTTATTCAATGTCAGCAAATATTTTATGCCTTGATCAATGTAGTACAGATTTAACTCTGAAAATACAACACTTGTATGGTCTGCTAGTTTCATCACATTCATCGTAGATTTATAGATTTATTGCTGCTTCACTCTGATATTACTTCACTGTCACAGGATGACTTATTGGCTGAATTGGAAGAACTTGAACAAGAGGAGTTAGATGAAAAATTATTGGATGTTGGTCCGTCACCTGTGGATAACCTTCCAAGTGTTCCATCAGAAGCATTACCGAAAGCCAAAGGTAAATACAGCCAAAGTGTCATTTCAATTTCTTCAGCCACAGTGGCATTGCCATTCTGGGCCTACTGTATAGTACAATGTCATCTGTCTCCATTGGCATGATGCAGTACTATATTTATCTGTAAGTTCTCCCTTGGCGTCAACACGGACAGGCTCCTGTGGTAGTACAATCTTCGTCATGAAAAATAATGCACCCGGTCCATTTAAAAAAAATGTGTTGAAAGATTTCTAGTAGCTCGCTGTTTTCAAAAAAAGATTTAAATTATTATCCTTTTAATTCGCGTTCAAAACATTGCATGGAAATCATTATTGTAATGCGAATGATGTATGTGTCAATTTACATCTCCAGTCATCCCTACTGAAGATCACAACACTTTACACCAGCAACGATTTCAATAAAACGTACACTTCAATATACAACTACATAAACATAACTACAAAGACGTCAACAATTAAAATTAGAAAACATTGCTCCGACAGCTGTTATAACTATGTTGTTTAAAGGTTGAAAGTTCATCGCTACCATATATGGATGTTATGAGTGACCCAATGCATGAAATTACATCTTTGATAAGGTAGCTGCTTGACCCTGTGTCAGTACAAGCTCACCAGTTCAACAAAGCTCTCAATTTTGAATTTCTGAACGTCCAAATTAATCTACCAATGAACTTGCATTATTTTTCGGCACTCTGCACTGTGTGTAAAATTCTCACTAAAACTTCTTGTGCTATATTTTATTATGGCAATTGTTATGTCTGCCTGTATCTATTTTTATTTGAAAAAAATTAATCACTATTATTAGAAACAAAGCAATATTTTTACAGTATTTATTTTTACTGCATGGGCAATAATTTGTGGCAGGCGATCTTTCAGATAAATACGGTAGTTACTAGAGTCATCTGTGTATAATGCTGATGGTCAGTATAATACTTTGCAACATCAGATGTTGTACCAGACCGTCCGTTTTTGCCAGGGTCGGATGGTTCTTAATATTGCATTTCCAGGTGAATACTGATTTCCATCTGTCACCGCTCACTAATTTGAAAAATGTTGACAAAGTGATTCTGTGATTGGTTCAGGCACTTTGATTACTGGTATATCCAATGAGCACACTGTAGATATGTTTTAAATTTGATGTTTGATGATAAGTAAAGGTCGTTAATTTAAATCCATGTTAACATTTAAAATTACAATATGTCTCATTGTCTTACTGGAAAATATATCAGAATAGTGAATTTAAATACCATTTCTCAAGGGCAGGCATCCGGGCATTTTTTACTGCCTTGCAACCATCACAGTGAAAACAAAGGCCGAAAACTTGCAGAAAACCGTACTTTGGAATGGTTGTTGAGACTCCCCTGAACAGTGTAACAAGATCACCAAGCATGTCAAACATATATAAATTTGGTTGTTCAGGATTATTTCGAAGTTGATTTCTTGAATTTAGCTATTTTCATTGGCTCTTCGACCGGCGTTCCATAGCAGCTCAAGCAGAGCCCTTAGAAATACATGGTAAAGTGGTGCGCGTCTTAGTAACGTGGAACGTCTTGTGACGTAGCTCCGCCGGAGGATACTTATTTAATACTTTTACAATGTATTTATAATCTGCATCCTAATTTGTTATAGAACATAATACATTTTTGTCACATTGTTCTTTTCAGTTAAACCTGTGGAGGAAGATGAAGATATGAAAGAGTTGGCAGCCTGGGCGAATTAACCCTGGTCACAATAACACTGAACAATGTAACCATTTGCATTGTTATACCAGACACAGTAACATAGTAGCCTCCATATTTACCAAATGCTCTGATGTCGCAAAATTGTTACCCAATGCCTTTTTGATTTAATCCCTTGTAAATGATACCTTTCAGTTGTATAAATACTGCTACCAGGTAATATATATGAAGTACATGTATACTACTGTATTTATAGGATTCCTGGTGATTTTTTGATTTGCTTTATACTGTGGCATCAATAATGATATTAGAATATGTAAAGTTTATATTGCAAATAAATCTATTGTATTGGTAAAGGGGCAACTCTAAGCTGCAAAGCTATATATACCAACATAATGCTTGACTTATATTTTGAAAACACATAAGCGGTCTTACTCGTTTCCATTTTGGGGACTTGAAGATAAAATAACGGCATTGTTCATCATTGTTGTTATTAAATACAGATGCATATGTAATTAATATTAACTGTTAATATTATATAAAAATAATGTATGTGCAACTTTGCTACAGCAGATTGCATTGTGAACAAATACTTTAGGAATTTTGGATTCATTGTTAAATTAATTTGGCAAATGATTGAAATGATTATTAAAATGTTCTCTGATTTTGTGCTCTTCTTGATCCTTACATTTGTCTCCTGAAATTCCAGCATTTTGCAATACCACTATTTAGTGAAACAAGAATATGGTTACTTCTTGGAAACTGGCAGTCATATATTTGTATATATATATCTCTCTCTCTCACTCACTGACTGTGTGTGTGTGTGTTTGTGTCACTATTTGAGAATGATCAACCTTACTAATTACAAAAAATATTTACAAATTGAAAAAAATTGTTTAATTAAATTTATTTTAATTTCCATAATTTAATTCCTGGTTCATCCAGAAATGTTTTCTTGTTTTCTTACTTGAAGGAATAACCACATTAAACAGTGCTATTCCGCTATACCTAAGTATATAGGTAAGTTTTGTGGTATATGTCAAATGAGCTTCAAATATGGTGAAAGACAATTTATAGAGATGCAAAAAATATTGCCAGTCTTTGGTGAATGTTTACTCTCATTAGATATATTTCGTTTCATTCATTCAAAAACAAAACCAGGTGTAGTGCTGGTGATTTCCTGAGTTACCTAAGAATTATTTAGTATGGTGTCATTAGAGCCATAATTAAAACCATGGCACAATAAAATATGACAAATAAAATTTTGGAAATTATTCATTTCTTTGAAGAACACAAGATAAAAACATGTAAAGAAAATGTTTATTCTTGGAACAATTTATGAATAGGTAGCTATGTAGAACACAAAGCATTGTGGGTAATTACAGTTGAAATTTTTTTAAATAAGCCGAATTTATCAAGTTGATTAACACATTTGGGAGGCCAATCTGTTCGTTAAACCATATCCTGCCACTTATCCTGTACTTTTAACTTTGATCTGATCAGATAATTTCTTCTCTTGATCTTGATTATGATTTGTATAATCATAATATCTATCTTGATGTTAAACTATCACTACGTCAGTGTATTGTGGTATTTCCATGGTGCATATACATGTATGGCTCCTTATTTTACATTGAGATTTGAATGTAATTAGTCAAAAAAACAAAGTGGAGTATTTTTGAGCATTATTATAATAATTTGATCATAAAAAAAAGTATTTTGGCCGCTAGCAGTATTTGTCTTTGAAATGATACAAAATGCAAGTGTTCCCTCGATTCACAATTTGAAGTGACTTCATACTACATTTTCATGTATTCTTCCTTTGAATACTACTACACTTGCTGCCAAAGCATTATTTATGATAAATCACATGACATTTTTTCTGTCAAAAAACACAATTATTCAAACATGCTATCAATTACTTTATTTCACACACAACACATCTTTTATATTTTGAGCATCAAAGCCAACTTTTGACACATTAACAGAATAAAACCTTTTGAATATGATCTTTAACCAATAGGAAATTGTGTCGATTTAGTCTATTTAGTATAGTCAAAATTTTTACGAATAAACATTTCTTCTAGGTTGAACTTTCTGTTTTTTATGTAATCATAATATTATAATGTGTGTAATTAAACCAGGAAATGCTTTATATAAACTATTAAAATACATTCATTAAGTTCTGAATTTTTAGTTGATACATAAAGATGTATTTGTCTTTATCATTACTAACTAGCAAATGATTTCATATTATCTTATGTCCTATGGGAATCATTATTGTTCTATAGGAATTAATTAATCTGTTATGGGAATTATATTAATGTCCTATTGAAATCGTATTAAGGCCTAAAATGGTCAGCACCCTCCCCCCAAATAAAGTGTGGTACCAATTTGTTTTCACTTGTTTTGCCACTACACAGCGTCCAAATTCATTAAACCTGCAAAAATGTATGCACCATCAAATATTGATATCCTATGGGAATCACATTGATGACCTCATGGGAACCATTAATGACCTATGGAAATCCTATTAACTTACCAAAAAGGGAAGAAAGATAAAAAATGTTACGTGATTCATATATTCTCTAAGCATGCTACTATAACAATCTATACATCACTTGAAAGCTTAGATATAGGAGAATGCATATGCCATACTGATGTTTGTCTTAGAGCTTGCACTATTGTACCGTTCATCTGTCATTATTAATCGTTAATGGTATATGAGGGGGAAATGTTCTTGTTGCTGTCTTTGATTCTGTCATAAAACTTTCTCTCTTGGTTATAACAAACTCAAGCAATTTGTATCCAATTAATATTATATTAACATGTTTGGAATCTCGTCCGATTTTTGAATGTATTCCATGTATATTTTTTCAAGACATTCATCAAATTTCACCTAAAATTGTTGTTTTCTTGTTGACACAATGAATGTTCTGTTCATTCTTATCGAATCCATATTGTACATAATGAATGTCCTGTATATACCTGTTGAAGCCATGTAGAACAAAATTAATGCTGCTTACGTTCCAATAACGTAATGAATTTTAGAAATTATCTCAGAATGCATATTTAGTTAATTAATAAATTACGCAATAGTCCCAGGCACAAATAAAGCTATAGGAATAATCTCAGAATGCATATTAACCAATAAAGCTAAATGTATATGAATGGCCCCATAATGCACATTGAGACCATCCATAAAGACCCAAGTAAAGATACAGGAATAATAATGGAGTGCCTATTCAGATAATCTATATAGAGCCCAATAAAGCTATAGGAATGATCCCGTAGTGTATATTCAGACCAACTATAAAGACCCCCAGTAAAGCTACAGGAATGATCACGGAGGGCATATCCAAACCATCTATGAAGACCCCAGTAAAGCTGCAGGAATGATTCCGTAGTGTATATTCAGACCAACTATAAAGATCCCCAGTAAAGCTACAGGAATGATCCCGTAGTGTATATTCAGACCAACTATAAAGATCCCCAGTAAAGCTACAGGAATGATCACGGAGGGCATATCCAAACCATCTATGAAGACCCCAGTAAAGCTACAGGAATGATTCTGTAGTGTATATTCAGACCATCTATAAAGACCCCAGTAAAGCTACAGGAATGATCCCGTAGTGTATATTCAGACCAACTATAAAGATCCCCAGTAAAGCTACAGGAATGATCACGGAGGGCATATCCAAACCATCTATGAAGACCCCAGTAAAGCTACAGGAATGATCCCGTAGTGTATATTCAGACCAACTATAAAGACCCCCAGTAAAGCTACAGGAATGATCACGGAGGGCATATCCAAACCATCTATGAAGACCCCAGTAAAGCTGCAGGAATGATTCCGTAGTGTATATTCAGACCAACTATAAAGATCCCCAGTAAAGCTACAGGAATGATCCCGTAGTGTATATTCAGACCAACTATAAAGATCCCCAGTAAAGCTACAGGAATGATCACGGAGGGCATATCCAAACCATCTATGAAGACCCCAGTAAAGCTACAGGAATGATTCTGTAGTGTATATTCAGACCATCTATAAAGACCCCAGTAAAGCTACAGGAATGATCACGGAGGGCATATCCAAACCATCTATGAAGACCCCAGTAAAGCTACAGGAATGATTCCGTAGTGTATATTCAGACCAACTATAAAGATCCCCAGTAAAGCTACAGGAATGATCACGGAGGGCATATCCAAACCATCTATGAAGACCCCAGTAAAGCTACAGGAATGATTCCGTAGTGTATATTCAGACCAACTATAAAGATCCCCAGTAAAGCTACAGGAATGATCACAGAGGGCATATCCAAACCATCTATAAAGACCCCAGTAAAGTTACAGGAATGATTCCGTAGTGCATGTGCAAACCATCTATAAAGATCCCCAGTAAAGCTACAGGAATGATCCCGTAGTGCATATGCAGACCATCTATAAAGACCCTCAGTAAAGCTACAGGAATTACCCCGTAGTGCATATGCAGACTATCTATAAAGACCCCCAGTAAAGCTACAGGAATGATCAGGGAGTGCATATGCAAACCATCTATAAAGACCCCCAGTAAAGCTACAGGAATGATTCCGTAGTGTATATGCAGACCATCTATAAAGACCCCCAGTAAAGCTACAGGAATGATT